TATATATATACCTCTTTAATGAAAAAGGAGGTGGTGGGGATTTTTTTAACTTGTTTGGAAATACTGATTGTGCACTGGAGCTGTTTTTTAAGTGACACTAATTTATTGTGGAAAACTGGCTTCTGCACTTATTCTTTCTGTGTTACAGGACCAGCACTGCCCTGCCTGAGCAGCATCTGGGAAAGGTGCTGGGAAAACTTGGTGTTTCCCTGGGAGAAATTTGCACCTGCAGCTGGTCTGCATGTTGCTGTCATGTGGGAAAATGCTGGTTCTTCAGCAACCACCGAATAGTTTTATTATTCCTTCTACCAGCACTGGGGCAATTTACTTCTGAGGAGCCCTGCCCTGCAGTTGTCTCTCCGGGATGTGTTTGCGAGGCCGTGTCTGCAGCCACAGGGGCATGGGGAAATCCTCTCCCCCGTGCTGGGTGACGTGCTTTGCAGCAGGCTGGGCTTGGTGAATTCCAGCTCTGGGGAAGAAATCCAGGTTCCTGGACTCGCCAGATTTAAGCCAGGTTTGGAAACAGGTGAGAAACTGGTGTCCAGCCTCCGGGCATCTCGTGGAGGGGACAGAGGGGACAGCGCTGCCAGCCTTGGGGAGCCTTTCGGATAAAGCAGAGCTGCGTGGGGCCACCCTCCATCCCCGTGAGCCATCCCTGACACCCCAGCTGTGTAACCCCCCGGGGTGACAGTGCCCTTCCTCTGCCAGGCTGCCGGTCTTCCTCTTCCCCCTGCTCTGACAGCCAGAGACCTGCCGCAACAACGGCTGCAGCTTTCTGGGAGCCCCGGTTTCCCCCCCCCCCCGGCCGGGACCGCCAGAACCCTGCCGCAACAACGGCTGCAGCTTTCTGGCAGCCCCGTTCGAGCGCTCCGAGCCAGGGCTCGAGCTGTCCTCTCTCCGGGACAGCACCTGGGCTCTTTGCTGGGAGGTGCTGGCCCAGCACAGTGGGACTAAACTGGCTCCCCACAGCCACCTTGTTTTTGGATGCTGGGCTCATGCTGGGGCACAGCCGGTGCTTTTACAACAGCCTGCCAGGTCTTGAAAGATCAAAAGAAAACCAGCTTTGTTCTGAGTTCTTGGCAGGGCAACCGTGCTGGGATCCCCACAGATGATTCAGGCGAGTTACTCACCGGCAGTGGGGACTCACCCCAGGCCAGGGGGTGGTTGAAGCAGCTGAGATGTCACCGTTCTGTAGGAAACAGAGGTATTCATGCAGAGTGGAAAAAGGCAAAAGACTCGTGACATTTCAAGACGGCATTTTAGCAGCTGAAGTTTCTGAGTGGATGTGAGAGGGGGTTTTTTGCTTCACCTCAGCGGTGCAAGCAACATGCAGGGCTCTGCGGAGCCACAGCAAGAAGGTGTGATGCTCACTGCAGGGGTGACGACCCGGCGTGCCCCAAAGGAGACCTGCCACTGCCGTATGCAGCTCAGGGTCCGGGCAGAGCGCGTCTGGATTCCAGACCACGCCACTCTGCCCGGCCAGGCGTCACGCGCTGAGCAGGATGGGGTTGTGCCAGAGGATGGGGCTGGGTCCTGGGCAGCCCCCAGCCCAGCCAGCGCAGCAGGTTGCCCAGCCGGGTGCCCCGTCACTGCTGCACCACTTGGGTGTGCGCACGCACATGGCTCCCACCTTGTGCTCGAGCCATCCCACGCTCCCTCCGCATCTGGGGACGGGTCAGCCGGTGACGGGTCCCGCAGTGTCCGTCGTCTCAGAGGTTTGTCGTGCTGGCCTCCGGCCCGTGGCCACAGCACCATGCCTGGAGGTGTTCGCTGCGGAGGTTTGTGGAAGCTCTGACTCACCGTGATCGATAGGCTCGTTCCCGGCTGCTCTTCGTGCTGTTGGCGGTGTTTTCAGCTTCTGCCAGTCCCAGATCAAAGCAACGAGAGGAATGCAGCTGAAAACAGCTCTGTAGTAGAAACAGCAGGTTTAGGACTGCGCAGGAGGGTATTTCTTATTACTAATTCTCAGAGAGCTGAGCTGCCGGCCTGTAGAAGTATTGGAGAGTGGAAAATCGCTGTGCGGGGGCTAGTGGGACTTTTGCAGCCACCTCATAGGAAACGTAGCACCTAACAAACACGAGGGAGACAGCCGCTCCTGAAATGACAGGAGAAATTAAAGCTATAATATTTTGCAGGCTGCCGGAACAAAGGAAGATCCGTCTTTGCCTTTGAAAGCCATGGGAGGCAGAGAGCAGCGTCTCGGGCTGCAGCCCAGCCCCTGGATCTGCCATGGCCCGGTGTCCCCCCGGTTCTGCTCGCTCTCCCTCCTGCCTGTCGCCCTGCCAGCACCCTGTGCAGCCCAGAGCCACCCCAAGTCCCTGCAGCCACCCCAAGAACTGCCTGGCACTCGCCTACGTGCCCGGCAAGGGACCTGGCTGAGCGAGGCCCCGTCACCCAGCCGCCCCTGCACCTTCGGGGCAGCTCCGTAGCTCCAGCTGGGTCCCTGGAGCGGCACGGAGGGAGCAGCAGTGTCAGAGCTGCCCTGCCGGACCCGTACTTCAGCCCAAAAAGGCTTTGTCATTTGACAGGTCTGAGCTGCGACGTGACTCAGGCCAACGGTTGCTGCTGCGTCTCTCCCGGCAGCCCTGGGCCAGCAGTCAGGAGCTGGGTGGCCTTTCACTGCTTGGCTTGGCTGGGAAGCCCACCAAGATGCGGGTGAGGACTGCGGAGCTGGGTGGTCTTTCGCTGCTTGGCTTGGCTGGGAAGCCCACCAAGATGCGGGTGCGGACTGCGGGGGTGGGTGGTGGTTTGGCGGTTGGCTTT